AATCAAATTATAATTACTTTTCAAATAGAATTTTACATGATTTTATGAATACAGTTTTCTTTTTCATTACAATCTAATTATTTTTAACTTTGATTTTTGACAACCAGGACCGAGCACCTGCAGTTAAAAGACAAGTCTAACCACAATTATGTAACATTGGTACGCGTGGCCGAATGGAAGTGATTTCGATTTCTAAATGAGAGGTCTGAGATTCGAGACTCAGAGGAGAAGACATTTCTTTAGATCTTTCTTTACCAAAAAATAAATGAATAAATAATCAAATGTAGAACAGGGAAACCGGTAACGGTAAATTGATGAATAAATTACTAGAAAACAATGAGAATAAATTAATAGTTCTTAATAGTCCTGAAGTAACGCAGACTCAAGTTTACAGGAAAGTGAGTGACTGAGTGATTAAATGATTGAGTGAGTGACAGCCGACTCGTCCCCCTCCAATAACTCTTCGATTGCTTCGCAATCTTCGAGTTAAAAATGATGAACTTACACCTACTTGCAGAAACGTTGTCATAGGAAATAGGACATTTGTATTTAGTAATAAAAAGGAATAAATTAAAAAAACAAACGAAGATCACTGATGCTGAACGCTTTCTTTTGGGTCTTGTTTTAATTAATTCATTTTTAAAAATTCACATGTTCTATTTTCTATGACAACGTTTCTGCAATTAAGTGTATATCTTTTCAATGTTCCATACATCTCAGAATCGTATAACAATTTCAAATAGTACACATTTTCTGTTTTTTTTCTTTGCTAAGCATGCTTCAAAGTGAAGGCGGCAAACCTTGTACATATTTAATCCGTCGGGATTTAAAGGCGTCTGACCAAATTTCCATTCGTCGTTTTGACTGCCATTGTTGAGCCAAACAGAAGTTTCTGATAGGTTGGTTTTCATTAATATCCTTAATGAGACGATATCTTTACCAAACATATGATACCAAAATTGTAAACACAGGGGTTCCTCAGCTCTTAACCAGTCGCTTGCAAGTCTTGCTTTATCTCCGGTGTTTCCTCCTGATGACTCGATATAAACATATTTGCCTGAAATCGATGTAAAAAAGTTATGCCATTAAACTACTAGCAATAGAAATTAAGAGCCAAGATGATTTAAGGAATAAAAGACGAAATTCCGTGTTTGATACTCTGATCAAAACACGCGGGGTGTAGGGAGAGCACGAGAGAAGCGTAGGAAACCACGACGCGTAGCGGAGTGGTTTCCAGCTTTTCGAGTGCTCTCCCTACATCCCAAGTGTTTTGATCAGAGTATCAAACACGGAATTTCGTCTTTTATTTCTTTTCTAAAATCAAAAGAATACGAAAATTGTAAAGAATTCTGACTTTTGATAGGATATGAAACGAGCGTGTTTTGATACTGTAATCAAACATGGTTTTCGACCAATCACAGCGCGCGTAGTATCCTAAATATTTTAGAAATTCCAATAATTCTACTAAAGAATCATGCCTCAAGGAAAAAGAAAAACATCGACCACACTTTCATACCTTTCCGAGATGTGTGGTCAAATGACGGTCCAGTATTTTGAGATTTAGTTTTTCCTTCTTTTCTTATCCACCTCAACTTGACATTTTGGTCATTCTTCAGGCCACAAAGTCCGCTTTCAAATGAGCACATAGCTGAAAATACATTTCAAACGGCTAGTATCTTTGTACCAATCCATCTATCATGGTAAATCTGCTTCTAGATACCTAGTTGCTATTTTGCCGATCAGCAAATTTATATGTAAGGGATTGTGCAATAATTACCAGGAGGTGGGCATAAAACCAGAGGGAGGCATTTCATAAAATTGATGCCAAGATAGGGGGGTCTCAAAGTGAAATTACCTAATTAACAGAGGGGGGACCTTATTCAAAATTTTCATTATTTTCTTTATCTTAAATTCAGCTTAAATAACAACCAAAATTGTAGAAAATGACAAAAACAACTTTAACTGACAATTAATATGATATTGATATTACTTTTTCAGTTTTTTTAGAAGATATCAACATCACTGATAATTTTTATTCTTTTAGCTAAAGCTTTTTAGGTAATCTTTTTTATGAAAAAATCCATTATGAAACGAAACGCCACTAATGAAAATCTAAATTCAAAGACTCGTTGATGTGGGATTGAAATTGACCAAGATATGATGATTTTTTTTCAACTATTGATTTTTTTTTTTCAATTTTATCACATAAATTAATTGAAGATGTAGAAGCTGAAAAACATCTTGATCTGATTTATTAGACATAATTAACAAGCACAAGTAACATCAAAGTCGTTTTTGACCATAAAAACGTTCATTACATAAGCCTTTTTTGGACCTTGAAAACGGCTTTCTCAGGAACAAATTCATATAAGAACAGTTATTTAGCAGAAGTACGATGGCCGAGAAGGGCCTTCTGATTTCCGACTTCCGATTTCGGACTTCTGATTTCGGACTTCTGATTTCCGACTTCTGATTTCCGATTTCGGACTTCTGATTTCCGACTTCTGATTTCCGACTTCCGATTTCGGACTTCTGATTTCGGACTTCTGATTTCCGACTTCTGATTTCCGATTTCGGACTTCTGATTTCCGAGATCACTATGGTTCCTTAAAAAAGTATTTTACTATTTAAATAGTAAACGTTACAAAGTTTCCTTCTTTTTCTTTTGATCATTTTTTTACTTTTATACAAGTATGTACTAAAATATATAATTGTGCTTTCTTTATGTCAATACCATCAGACCATTTCTTTTCGGTCTTGTTTGCATAATGAAAAGGTGTAATCTAACACTAACTACAAATAATAAATATTTTATTTTCATTAAGTATAATAACTGATTTCTGATTTCCGACTTCGGACTTCTGATTTCCGATTTCCGACTTCTGATTTCCGACTTCGGACTTCTGATTTCCGATTTCGGACTTCTGATTTCGGACTTCCGACTTCCGATTTCGGACTTCTGATTTCCGACTTCCGACTTCTGATTTCCGACTTCGGACTTCTGATTTCCGACTTCGGACTTCTGATTTCCGACTTCGGACTTCTGATTTCCGA